TGTTAATATTTGGGTCTCGTTTGACTGTAGAACCTTCTTATTAAGGAGTTTCATTTTCATGTGAAAAAAGAGAAAGTTTTTGGGTTTTTTTATTAAAGAATAAATGTCATGAATAGTCAAGAGATTGAGAATAGAGTTGAAGAAAAGGCTGCGTTCTTTCCAAAGAGGTTTGATATGTGTCTCATATCAAGTTTGCTTTCTTTTATATCATAAAAGAGAAGATTATCCTCATTATTAAATCTTTTACTGAAGTTAATTTTCGTGGGGCTCGATAATCCAGGGTCTTTGCTCCAGTGTCACTTTGACTTTGTTGTTTGTTAAGCTTTTCTACTTTTTTTCCCCGTTTAATCTTTAATCTTGAAACAGGAAAGCAAGAAAGAAAAACTAATACTTCCTACCTCCGGCTATATTTTTGCTGTTCGCTCCTAGTAGCAAACAGGACCTTCAGTGGCTCCTCTTAGGTTCCCAACCGGGCTGGGCAATATAGCTTAAAAATAACATTTCCAATTTTTTTTCCCATATGAAATCTGATCTATTTTTGTTCTCTCTTCATTTTCATGTCATTATATGTTTATTTATAAAGCACTTAAAAACAACCGATGGTTGTACCTAGCTACAGGGATGATGCATAAATGATAACATAATGACAACAATTTTAGATTGACAGAAACTGATTTAAAGAGATACTAAAAGCTGTGAGTCATGTTTGTAAAACAAGTTTGAAGCTATAAAGGATTAATAAAAAAGCAAATTTTAAGATATATTATATCTGTGAAAATGTTAAAAAGCTTAAGCTTTTCTTCCACTTTAACTGTTTTGTTTTCAAACTTTACATTGTTTAAGATGTGACCAAATGTGGAACATTTTTGATTGAAAGGTTTCCACGACGTGGACCATGCTGAGAATCATGTTCTCTGAACCGGCACCCGGTCCAAATCAGAACCTCAGCAAACTCGGCAGCCTGCCGCTAATGAACAGGTGATCAAGTGAACAATCTATGGAAGTTAATACTGCTGCTCATATAGGATCAATCCTGAATGGTTGGGTGTTTTCTGCTCTCAGTTTCAGCATGAAAGACTTGGGTTCAGTGATGGGTCCGGAGGGCAGACTGGAGCGCCACAAAGGTGAAAGCCGGCAGGATAACATCCACCTGGAGCCGGGGAATTCGCACATCAGCAACAATAACGAAGGTGCAGATTGTTGGTTCCTGACTGAAGACTGATCTAAGGGGTTTGAAACCATCTTTGATTTAAATCAGTGTTTGTATTTCAGAAAATGAGGAGACGGAGGGAAGCGACGGCCCTACAGAGTACATGTTTGGTGACGCAGAGTTGGATGACGATGATCTGTATCCAATGGAGCATGAAAACCAAGCAGGTATCCAAGGTCTTATAAAGAAAACCAGATATCTACCCACATCAATGTATAACCCTGTGTCTGCTTCTCGGGTAGTGCCAGAGGAGCAGGTGTACACACTACCTCCGGAAGCCTTCCAGCTGCGCCACGAGATCATTGATAACCCGTCTGCGCCAGAGCATCTTCAGCAGGACAAGGCCGACTCCCCGCATGTCAGCGGGAACGAGGCGGAGGTCACCTGCTTGACACCCATTGAGACGGTCTCGCTCATCTCCATCTCTCAGCCTCTGTACAGCCCACATTTACACGGCAGCTTTTTCTGCCCCATCGTGAGGGAGATGCTGAGCCACTACGCCGAGCAGGGCGACGTGCAGATGGCCGTGTCTGTGCTCATCGTGTTGGGGGAGAGGATTCGCAAGGAGATCGACGACCTCACCCAGGTCAGAAAGCAAACATTCTGACATCTGGTCTCCTTTTTTTTTTTTTTTTAATATAGGTACTTTACGTCAAAACTTATTTTATTGGGTTACTTATGGAGTGAATAAACATGTTTTCTCCTCACAGGAGCACTGGTACATGTCCTACATAGACCTGCTGCAACGATTCGAGCTGTGGAACGTGTCCAACGAGGTCATCAAGCTGAGTACATGCAGCGCCATCACCTGCCTGAACCAGACGTCCACCACTCTGCACATCAACTGCAGCAACTGCAAACGGCCGATGAGCAACAAAGGGTGGATCTGTGACAGGTACACAGCAGCATCTCTGCTTGGCTTTGCAGTGCAACTCTGCAAGTTAGGGTCTAATGCAGTTTACATTTCATTTCTTTCTTCTTAAAAAGGCTCAGAAATTGTTCCTTTTATTATTTATATTTTTATTATTTAAATTAAGTTTAATGTTGCATTCTGTGAAAGACACGTTGTTGTTTTGGATCTTATGAGATGCAACGTTTCTACTATTTACTGGAAGCTACAGGTGTCTGATGTCAGATTGCACCTGTAATATGCAAAGAATGAGAGAATCCAGGAGTTAACCTTGATTTTTTTTTTTTATTTATTTACTTAATGGTTAAAAAAAAAATTAAGCAACACTGCATTAGTAGCACCAGTTATAATTATAGATCTATTTTCTTGTCATTTGGTTGGTAAACTAGTTGCTATGTTTTGACATTTTTTAATCATATTTTAAAGACTAAATATATAAAAGTAAATGTTTATTCTTTAAAGATACCATAACATTTCCAATTGTAGATATTTATCAAAAATTAAGTTACATTTTTTTCCAACAGGTCATCTAACAGTGACTCTAAATGCGCTTTATCTGAACTGAGAGCAAAGTGGCTTTCAGGCTTCTGACCTGCACCATTCTTCCTCCAGGTGTCGCCAGTGTGCCAGTGCCTGTGCGGTGTGCCACCATGTGGTGAAGGGGCTCTTTGTTTGGTGTCAGGGCTGCAGCCACGGTGGACACCTAGAGCACATCATGAACTGGCTAAAAAACAACTCCCACTGCCCTGCAGGATGTGGTCACATGTGTGAATACACATGATGAGCGCGAACAACGTCCAGGTGCCTCGGAGAATTCACAGTTGCTCATTCTTCTGTGTCCTCAAACTTCAAAGAACATCTTCCATTTTTGGGACATTTCAAGTATAAGAACTCTGGACACCATGGGATGGATTTCAGTTTAGAAACTAAACAAACAGCTAGGCTACCAAATAAATTCTTAAACACATTTTGAGATTAATTGCACCTTTATTTTTTACAAATCTTTATTATAAAAACAAAAAACAGCTACTCTGATGGGTTAAAATAAGCACACAATTGGATGAGGTTAGCATTACATCATTAAACCTATACCTAATTACTCACATATTAGAGCTTCTGTAAATCATAGGCTGAATCCCAAACCACCCTGTAACCACTAACCCTTCGCTATCAAGTGTCACTCGCAATAATAATAAAATTATTGAACTTTATTGATTTCACATTGGAGAAATTTACCTCTGCATTTAAAGTCACAGCTGTTGAAGGAGCCTTGGTTGTACATTGGGGGTTATAAACATGAATGGGACGGCCTCTTTCCTTCAACAGAAAGTGAAAGAAGTTGTTCCTATGGCAACACAGTGGCAGCGTACGTGTATGGTTGAGGCTCTGTGGTGCAGAAACATTTGCCATTTTCTTAAAAATGTATCTATCCAGTCAAAACTTTAATTTTAAATAGGACCTTCCATTTAGGGATTTAATCATTTTTTTAACTATTTTATTTTCTGTCAGTGGAATGAAGATGAAGCAGACCAGCGGAACTTACATTTGAATGCACGTTTTCTCCGCCACTAGTTTGGAGTTACACCTGCTGCCAGATTAGCAAGCCTGCACTTATCCAGACTTGCTATTTAAGTGCTGAAAGGCGCACTCACCTTACCCTACTTTGGGATGGCACTTAATGTGACAGACCCTCTTCAGGAACACACAGAGGGTTAGTGCTTAGGGGCCGGTTTGGGATTCCGCCATGGTGTTGGGAGAGGAGGGCTCCACATTGAGCAATTCAGTTTGTTTCTATAGCACCAATTCACAGCACCTCATCTCAAGGCACTTTACAGAGAAAATTCAAACAGATCATACAGTCTGATTGATTGCAAGTTTTCTTTTCAAGGAAAACCCAGCTGACTGCATCGACTCATTGACTCAAAGCAATCCCACACACAAAGAACAACTTTTGACCCCACCCTCTGACCTGTTGCAGCCTTTAACAGGTTTTCTTCCTGGACTGTATTTAGCTCTAGGTTCTAAGTTAAAACAATTGAAACACCACAGCAGGTTGACACACGGGAAAATATGAGCTGTACTTGGATTGATTTAATTTATTCAATAATGTTTTAAGAATCAACAGGAAGTTAATTTTAAAAGCAGAAAATGTGAACACTCCACATCCTCATCTCATGACTCGGGTCGAACCAGAGTACTAGCCTCTGACCGTCTCCTGTTTTTCCTCTCTTTTCATCTACTCCATGAGTTCAACACACCAGCACAAGCGTGTGAGGATCACAATCCTCCCTGCCTGCTTGTAATTTCCCTGCAGCAGCTGTGTTGCTCCTGCCCTCATCTGGCGAGCTCAGGTCCTTCAGCCAATGACAGGCGAGCTGCAGATCTTCGCTGCTTTCCTCCAGCAGGTCTGACCTTTCCTTCTGGCCTTTCACCCGCTTCACAGAGATTGTTCAGGGTGGTATGATCACCCTCCGTCAAAGTATTTGCAGTAACCTCTTTAAAATATATAGAGAAAGGTAAAGTTCGGTTAATTTAGGGTGAGAGGAGAGATGTGGAACCCACAGGAGCAGATCTTACCTCTTAAGGCAGGCTAAGGGCGTTCCCAGCTGTCTGAAACTTTTTCTGGGGCACTCAGTCGCCTCAGACTCTGAAGCAGTGTTTCCAGAGTCCCTGCTGTGATCACAGATCAATGAAATGTCAGAACTTGGACTTCAGAGAGGATCCAAAGCATTTTAATCTCTGAGTTATACTCAGCGTACCCATTTTATCTTGATAGGACTCCAGCTTCTTCATAAGATCCACTATGTGAGAACATCGGATTCCCTCTGCAAGAAAAAAATGCAAATTTATAAAAAATGCATCTGAATTTAAACCAATGCTGCATCAGAGCAGACCTTTATCAGCAGAATCTCTTCCTTCAGCTTCCAGGCCTGGGTTGGAACCGCTTTTCCCATCCGCCATGAAGTAGGACAGCAGTTTGGCCTGACAGGCCCTCTCCTTCATCAGTGTGGCGCTGATGTCCTGAGCCAGCCGGTGATTCTCTACCAGCTCAGAGTGAACCTTCTTCCAAGCCATTTTGTCCTCCATCAGGCATCCCTCCATCACCGTCCGCAGCTCCTTCTCCTGAGACACCTGACTCTCCAGACTCTCTATTTCCTCACATCGCTACACAAGTTGAGTTGGACAAATTAGAGAAAATCGAATTAATAACAGAGATGATGGGAGAGTTTTTTTGTTTTTTTTTTTTTTACATACAATCACTATTTTACACTTTCTTTATTTCATTAAACATTTTTTTATGCGAGGACAAATGACTCAACTTCAGGAACAAATATAAACATACACCAGCACCTCAACAGACATCTGGCATCACTATAAAACGGAACACTTTGCTTTGCAAAATCTTTGCATTAACCAAATTTGTATGCATGGCTCCCCAACCTTTGGAGTAGTGGAGGTTTGGGTTTAATGTTAGCCCTCTTAATTTGACCCAAAACAAGTTTGTGATGCAAGTTTTGGGTCACTGACCCGATTCCCCACACCTGATTGCGAAGCAGAAGCTATAGAAAAACAGTCTGAATGAAGGAACTCATGTCACAATGATTTTAGAATATTGTTCAGGGTCAGCCTTGAGCTTTTTTTTGAAGAAGTTGAGCATATTGGTGGCAGCATCATCCTGTGGTGTGGTTTGCTATCAGTGGTGCCCCTTAACTAAAACTTTTATTCTGCCACAGGCAGCCTGAACAATAATAAAGGACAACCTTCAAATTCATTTCAAGCCTGCAGCAAGATGGATTCAATTTGGGCACATCTGGTTGTTCCCGCAGGATAAAAATCACAAACTCATGAAAACTGGTTTTAGGAAAGACAAAGCACCCCAACATTGAACTCCATAAAATTGCTCACCTGATCTGCACCACAGATTTGTGGACTATGCTTGAAACCAGTTTAAATACATGACCAGTTATATTTAAGAATCCCTGGTTATATTTAAGTGTGTTAAAAGTTAAACTTGTAAGCATATATCTAGGCAGGGATGCACCTTTATCTTAAGGTAAGTTCACACCGAATGCAAACTTAGCAGCTGCAGCCAAGGATCTCCATGTTATCTCTATGTAGAGGGCAGCTCTGGCAAACGGGGCAAAGGAGGTGAATTTAGCTAAGGAAATTGCACGACTTTGGTGAAATTGGTGAAACTAGATCGCTTCAGCGCAAAGTATGCAAAGCAAAAATTCACAAAAGTTGAAAAATATGAACTATTGTTGACATTTGCATCACAAAATCAAATCAAGAAGTAGATGTGTTGGTGAAGTAAGCAGCAGAGATTAGTTTTTGTTTTTTTTTCAATTAAAATGGAATGTAGAGAAAACAATGTTGAGGAAGGATAAAGTGGGGAATGCTCTTAAGAGGTTTGAGGGTGGCTTTTAAAAGATCTGTTTTAATTTAGCCTTAGACTGTTTAATCAACCTACCTTAGGCCCCCATTTTTCTTGTTCTCAGATGATTCAATGTAAACTTGTGAGGATGCGAATAATTTTCAGACAAATGATTAACAGCAGGTGATTTTTTTTCCTGCACATTAGCAAAACAGGTTAATTCACTATTGAATATTTGCTTAAACTGATGATTTCCTGCTCTTGTGCTGATCTTCCGCTGTGGTTCCTTAACTCCAGAGGGGGGCAAGGCTGGCCGATCTTGTTGCGGCTCTGGTGCTCTCTCTGTATTCTCTCACTGATTTGCTGCTGCTTCTGTCTGAGCTCCATCTCCCCCTCCCTCCGTTGTCTGGGTGATTCATCCCCAAAAGCAGGACGGCAGAGCCTCAAACTGGGTCATGAATAAGCAGAAGTACCGCTGAAAGACTCCATCGTCAGACTTAGCCTCTGAAGGAGGAGGTGGTTTTCTCCATACTGGTTCTGCCTCTGGGAATCTGGTTTTCCTAGGAACGCCGACAGCTTTGCTTGGCTTTCAAAAGTAAAAACAGCACTGCTGGTCGCTTCGTAAAAATATGACCAGCATCTTTAAGTGAAACCGATAACCAGCAGACTCCATGACGTAGCAGCCTATCACCTGCCATGCTAACTACTTTTGCTGATCAGGCAAATTTCAAGGCAAGCAAAGGCAGATTAAACTGTGGGAATTTTCACTGTTTTCGCATTTGGTGTGAAAGAACCTTAAGCCTTTATGGAGACTTCTGAATAAGACAAAAGCCAAAAAAAAAAAAAAAAAAACCTGTGCACTTACTTCAATAGAGATCACTGAAAGATTGGTTAAAGCCCATCATTGAAAGTCCCAAAACTAAAAAGTGAACCAGTATAGCTCCAGTCACCTTGTGGAGCTGGATGGCCATTTCCTGCATCTTAGCCTCCAGCTGGTCGGCGTAAGCTTGTTCCAGAGCGTCACTGGGGGGTGGAGCGCTGCTGTGCCATCTCGCAATAGCTGAGGTCATCTTCCGTTTGGGACCAAACAGCCTGTAACATATGAGGGCATTCAGAACTGATGGCTCAGACACAGCAGGCACTGGGGTTAAATGATAAAGGTCCTCACGTTATTCCTATTTCCTTCAGATCGTTCTCAGTCAGCGTGAGAAATATCCGCAGGTCAACGTCTTCTTTTGCAAGCAGAGGGAGGTATTTGGAGAAGCTGATTTGCTCCAAGAATTCTGCCAAATCCTGCAGGGAAAACAGGCACTGAAATCTGAACCATCTCAACCACACCGTAAAAGAATGTATGAAAAATCAGACAAACCTTTGGCCCGTTGTAAGAAGGCAGAGAACCAGAGTGTGCGTTTTTGCCACAGTTTCCTGTCCCGCTGGAGAGAGCTGCTTCGCCGTTTCCATGCCGCGTCTTTCCTTTGGAGTGATGACTCTTGTTTAGCCTGCGAGAGCTGCTCTGCTGGCCCTGGTCTGAGTCCTGGTGGAGGAAAGGTGCATCAGTGCAACAAAATTCAGGGGAAACATTTTGTTCTAAATCTAAGTGTGTTGATTTCACCTCATTACTCTCCACGGATCCCTCCCAGTTGAGTGTGACCACGCGAGGCAGGCCTTCGCTGCTGCTACTGCTGCTCCTCATGGTGGACATGTCGTTCTCAAAGAATGGACTGTCATCTTTGAAGACAATGAACAGTTAATCAAAGATCCCCAAAACCCGGGTTGATTTTCTGGGTCTCTACTCACCTCTGCTGCTGTGACTCTGCCCATCCAGCTCGTTGATTGGTGAGGTCACATCCCGGTAGCAGATGTTCTCGCTCTGCTCACCGACATCACGGTAGGTTGTGAATCCAGGCGGCGCAGCAGGAGGTTCTAAGAAGAGGAGGAACTTTGATGATAAAAGGAAGCAAAGAAGACGGCTGAGGAAGGTAAATACCACTTCTGATTAGAGTTTAAGGCTTTTCAATAAAACTGTCAGGACTTAAAAACTAAAGCTTTCAAGGATTCGAATGGTACCAACCAGAGTGAGGATCTTGGTCATGCATAGATTTCCCCTCAATCTTTGCATTAAAACGCTAAGATATGTGAACCAGTAAACTGTTGGCAGAGCAGATAAACTAACTAGAGTAAGAAGGAGGGGATTTCTGTGGAGGAGAGGAAATGAAACCAGGTTCACAGCAGCAGAAAAAGCTTGAATTTCCGTGCTAAAAACTAAACCATTTATTGCTTCTATGCGTGGATGATCAGGATGGTTTTCCTATTGGAAGGGGGACCTCAACCCAAGTCTCAGGTCTCCTTCAGCTTCCAATAGGTTTTTTTTTTTAGAGATTATCCTGGGTTTAGCTCCATCCATCTTCCCATCAACTCTGACCAGCTTCCCTTGTCCTAAGAAGAAAATATGGAAGTAAATCTGTGTTGCTGGGATTTGAATTAAAAATGCCACTGAAATTTAAATGTTGTTTGTACTTACTGTTTCAGTGTTAAAATATATTCAGAACACATTTTTGGCCTAAAAAGAAGTTCATCGTCATTATTTCTACACAGTTGAAATTTTATTTGTTATTTTCTCTTCAAGCTAAAAATTCACATTACTATTTCAAAGTGATTACATTTTCAATACTTATTTTTCAGTTTAATTTTTGAGTGTTAAAAAAATCTGCATATAAAAAAATTAAACCTTTCAAATTTCAAACTCAATATTTTCAGCCTCCTGAGATTCAACTGGCTCTATTTCACTGTTTTAAATTCGGCGTCTAAATTCAGTGTAAAAAGGGAAGGGGTTACTTTAGGTCAAAGACATTAGCAATGGATTGTGGTGTCCAAAACCCAGCCAATCCCGTTACGTTTTCTTAGTCACGTGACGTGGTGCATGTGCCGCTCATACTGAAGGAAAACCAGCATCACGGAGCCAGTCATGCAAGCTAACGCTAATTCAACT